CCTACCGCGAAACAAACAGGTATAAACAACACACGTCAGGCACTACAACAGGTAGAAACAACGGACCGAACGGCGACCGAAATACTAAGGTACGTATCCCCAAACCGGAGTGACGAGAACGTGAAACTCCCCCGGCTCCTGAGGACAAACCAATACAGGACCGACCCGCAGGACCACCTCCAGGTCAAAAACCAGGTATGGTATTACACCTTGGCACATTCCCCAGGACACGTGGGAACCGGCCCCACCAGACTACGCCGGAAACCGCGACCCCGCTGGTCAAGACCATACAGGGTGGGAAACAAACTCTCAACCGCAGTGCACCAAATCGAGGTCACAAAAGGTAGAGAGCCCACCCTCAGATGGGCCCGTTACAGCCAAACCAAACCACACAAACAAAGCCCCATGGGACAAGCAGGGCACACTTCAAACCCCAGTTAGGAACACACCACGTGACCTCAAACACGATTAGCCCAGCACTCACTAACACTCTTCTCGGCTGCACTAATCGACTCTCTCTTTCTCTGTCTCTGTCTAACCCCTAACAGTTGTTTCACGCCTTGCAGAACATGTGGCCCACTTTCCTTCTCGTGCTGACCTGCATACTGGGCCTCGGCACCCCAGAAATTATTGAGACCGGACCAGCCTCCGGGATTGTTTTAAAAGAACAACCCGGGCTCCTCATCACGGACGTCCGACTCCACACACAGCGAATCTTTGTCAGACTCAATCCTAGTGAAGTCTGCCGCAAGAACCTGCCCTTGAAGGTCACACTCAAAGATTGGGCAGGTGCACGCTGGACCCAGACGGTCGTGGAGCACGCTGAGGCAGACATACAACACATGCTGACGCAACTAGAGAAGTTCACGATCACTAGGACAGAGCTCAGCGACCCTCGCCCCAGACCCAAACGATTTATTGGGGCTCTCCTCGGCGCGGCGTCCGCCCTGGGCACCCTCTTTAGCTTAGGGATGTCCACGGTAAACGCCATCAGCCTATCCTCCCTCAGACGCCACCAACAGGAAATGGCCTCTGAGCTCGAGGATGTCAAAACCAGACTTGACCAACAACAGAACGACGTGGTAACCTTGGGAAAATCCCTGAAAGAAACCATGCTAGTACTTAACACGCACGAGGTTGCGATTAAACGTACCTCCGCTGCGGTCAACCAACTCTTAGACGTCCTCCAACTAGACTACGCCCATACTCTGCTGACCACACAGCTGATGGAGGACATGTTACGTCACCTCAGCTCCTCCATCGAAAACCTAGCCATGGGCCGTATCCCGCCATACCTCGTGCCGCTATCGCTAGTTGAGGACATCCTAGCCGTAGCCACACGGGACGCTGTAACACCCATGCAAGCCCACTTAGCGTACACGCTGGGCGCTGCAGTCCCCATCTATGTTAATCCTCTAGACAGCCTTCTAGGTAGCCTTCCTAGTCACCTTACCGATAGTTCCCGGCGACAAAATCTACCGACTGAAAGGGATCACTAACCTAGGGACCTGGAGGGACAATGCCCACGTCAAAGTCCACACGCCAGACATAGTAGCCTACCACGACAGCAACCCCAATTTGTACCTAACGCCAAATCTAAGGATGTGCACTCTCACTAAGGACATCCATTACCTCTGCCCCAGCAAACCTTTCGTCAGGGACAGTACAGATGGCATCTGCGGCCTGAGGCCCATGACTCCAGGGAGTCGATGCCCCGCGACGGTCACCTCTCGGAATCAAATAACCGAAACCAGAGCAGAGATTGTAGGGGCACGATGGCTAGTGAACACTCCCCTTAGAACGGCGACCCTGACCTATGACAAACATGACACCTCGTCCCGAGTAAGTCTCCCGGACGAAACCTTCTGGGTCAACGTCCCAACCGACGCTATCCTGCACATAGGCGACCTGGCACTATACCACCTGTACCCAAACCAGTACGAGGCAGAGATCGAGGTACCAGAGTTCTTCGAGAAAAGGGCTCTGGAACTCCAACCCTCCACCCTAGTCCAAGCCACCTACGAGGGGGCACAAACCGTGGACGTTGCGGTCGTAGACAACCTCCTTCAAGAGATTGCCAAGCGACCGACCATCCACCACCAACCAGTGGCCTACTCCTGGTCTGCCCCCGATACAGTCGTAGCCATCGCGGTAGGAATCGGGTACGGCCTGGCCATAGCCCCGGTCTTCGTCCTAAATAGACGGGTTAGGCGACTCCGCGATAGCTTTAACAGATGCGCGGAGGCAATGACGAGACAGATCCGTAAACGACCAAACCGGGGCGACAGCGCCGTCGAGCGTGGCAATTTAAGTCGGCGTCCCCAGGTCAACGAGTCAGAGTACGAGGACCTCCAAAGTCACCCACTCGAGACGGTCACTCTTTCTATCACGGAAGGTGAACCAAGGGCCTAAAACCCCACTAAGAGTCACCAGCTCAGACCCAACCAAACTACCTCGATACCTAATCAGTCTCTTAGACAATCATACCTGTCATCCCCGTTTATATACAGGAAATGTCCCTTGTAATTAAAGCCCCACTTGCTACGTCATATATTCGTGTAACCCTTACACTCCCCTTTTAGAACGAGCAAGATGGGAACCCCTCACCATCGAGTGCCTTAATGACGCTCCTACCCGCTGCCAAGGCAGCCACCCTTTTTTTTGGATTTTTGAAGTTTCCTATTTTTGTATCCTAGTCCCCTAGAGTAGAAACTCCTGCCACTCTCTTGGCTTGGAACTTTGAGTCGTCCAGACCAAGAGACCCAGGAGTCAGGCACACCGGCCCAAACCTTAGAGTTCACGGCCGGAGCTCACTCCCTAAACCCCTGATCCCGGTTAGAACTAGCCTGCAGGGCCAGGACTCGCCTTAGAGAAAACCCGGCCTCGACAAACCAAGCCAGAGGCCCGAGACCCAACCGCTACGAGCCTGGCCCCAGTTAGGCGCTTGCTAGCTACTGAGTCACATTGAGACGGGAATGTTGTAACATGTCACCACAAATTGTACACTAACACCCGAACAGGCGAGACGACCGACTGAGGACAACCCCACAGCATATCCGACATGACATGCACCTTGTCGGAAGGTGCATCTCTGCCGTGGGGGGGGTATGTAAGGTTAAACTGAGGACAGGGCCGAGCCTGTCCGCTCTGTTTATCATTGACCAAATGGAGAGATACAACTTCAAAGGAACCATGGGGTTCAACCACAGGAGCAGATATCCATCATGAGGATTACAGACGCCAGACGGACCCATAAAACAGCGGGATACCCATCTGGTGCCTTTTTCATGTCAACAGAGAATCTGATACGAATCAGCATTGTCACAATGCATTCCACGGACCAAGGGGTCCACCCGCGGCCCTCTGGCGCCCCCCAGTGGATACTGGACGCCATCACACCCAAGGCGGACACTCAAAGGACATTATTCGGTGATATTATGATTGATAACCGTTACAGACCTCACATGTGTGTATCAATGTCAAAGTAATGAAATACGGTGTGTGTTTGTACATGTGTTATGATCATTTGCATCAATCCGATGTGTTTCCTTTGCAAAATGTCTGTTGTGAAGGGGTCTGTCCACAGAGAGGGGAGGCATGGACACGCCTCCCCTGGGGAAGTCAATATAAGCACCCACAAGCCATTGTACTTTCTCTTGTTTCCCCCGAATTCATCATAACAACTATCCCGTTTGGTACGTGTCCCCTACACGGCCTACGCCCGCCACCATCTCGGGCCTGTACATCCACGAGGACAGCAACCACTCTCGCTGTCGGAGACGAGGACCTTCTATCGCCACTTTCGGGCTCCTTGGACCACCCCACCACAACGCTATTCTAGACCGTGTCGTGTGTGGAACCCACGCCTGGACCCGACCTGCCGGCTTCCTCCTGCTCCCTGTTCGAACACAAAGACCACGTGGACGAGACATCGCCTCCATCCTATTCTTCACTCTCATCCTCCCATCTCCATCTCCATCCTCCTCTTTCCATCAAACACATCCTCTACGCTCCTCCAAAGTAAGACTGTTCCTTGTTAAATGTGCAATTTGAATGAAATGTGTACGACTCCTACCTAAATGTGACCAGAAATCCCTTTTCGTTATATTTTTACCTTCATTTTGTAATCAATAAACCTCTTTCCTTTAACTCAATCCTATCAGAGTCGTGTTGTTAGATTTCGGAATATCCCTGGCAGATTTTCGTACTCAACCCATTAGATTCATAAGACTGATATCGAGGCAAGTACCCTGGTTCTGTTGTAGACTCTCAACCGTCTGCTGGTGCCCAAAATAAATAAGACAGATCCATTGGTGGAACGGCGAGTTCCTAATCCGGAGACTAGCCGCTCCACACTAAATTTATAACATAATCAGCAATATAAGTAGTTACCCTACATTATTTAATAATCACTAAAGGAATTCTAACTGCAAGCGATCGCATTAGTCCCTAACCCCTACCCCCTCTTTATGTTAATATCCATCCATCCATCCATTTTCTTCCCCTTAATCCATTTTTGGCTTGGGGGGTGGCAGTCAGAGCTGCACCCAGTACACATAGCACCAGCCCCTCACTGATCCTCCTGCAGGTGGTGAGTCCACAAGAGCCTTGATCTTTCAGCGGGGGCTTCAAGCAAAATGGCGTTAAGTGTCTTGCCCAAGGACGCATTGACAGCAGTCATCAGTGGGAATAGTGAAGTTGGTCTCTTGGTGCGCGCAAACCCACAACCTTCAGATTTTCTACCAACTGAGCCACTGTCGCCCCTAGTTTGTAAAATAATTTATTTAAAATTCAAACCATACAAAATGGCTTGAGAAAACCTTGTTTTTGTTTTGTATCTCTAATGAAAACGTCATGACGGAGATGTATGTATGTAGTGTGTTTAAGTCCATTGTTTCTCTATAATCGTTATTCCTGTACCTGTATAGGAATGAGATAATAATCCTGTATAGTGCATCCTAAATTGACTAATTTCTATAATTACGTATTTCTCTTGTTAGACCTTAATGACAGACGAACGTCGTTTCCGGGAGATCCAGGAGCAGTTGCTGCAGTGTCAAGCGGTGAATGAGATACTGCTCATTGTTTATAGCACAATCGGAGGAGCTATTCAGGGACTGCCAACTCTGTCCGAGCGTCTGAAGAGGATGACTATTGTACTACTTGATGGAATGCACAGACCGTGAGTCCACTTTATATATTATATCCTGTTTTCCATTCAAAGGCCAAACCTGTGTAATGTGATTTTTTTGGTCTGGTTTCATGCTTAACTTTCCATCATATATACAATATATTATCTTACAACAAACGTAATATTGTTATATACCTTTTATAATGAGAAAGTATAAGGTAGTAAAATACTTTTTAAACATTTGAAATAAACATCTTTTTAAAGTACATTTTCACTGTGTCACAAAAAGTTTAGTTTAAGAAAGTTAAACAACCTTTTAATAAACAACACTAATAAAATGAAATGTCAATATTTTCCAGTGAGTGTAACCTTGAAGAGACCCTGCAGGGCATCGGTGCACACATCTGTTGTGAGCTGAACAAGTCTCTCACAGACAGAGGGTACCCTGCTTTGAGCCCAGCGCTGCAGGCATCTCTTACTGGACAGATATGCAGAATCACCCAAAAAGATAATCCCATTCGCACTCTTGTTGGTAAGATTATTTTTGTTATCTTGAATTACACATTGCATTACATTTTTCTCCATCATAATATTTAACTAATGTTTATAATTGCATACTTCTAGAGGACCGTGTGAAAGAGTACTTCAAGATGCTCCTCTGTGATGCCAGACCTGAGGGGAAACTTGAACATGTGCCATCTGGTCTGACCATCATCAAACCTGACCTAATGCCAGTGGCAGCCAAGTTCTTGTCTTTGGTAAACTATAATAAGACTGTATACGGCCCTTACTACGCCAATATCATCAGGAGGCTTTTATTCAGCAAAGGCCCATCGGAGGAAAGGCCATCTCAAAGTGCAGCTATCAACACCACTGTGTTGAAATAAATGTTACTATTAAGGTGTTCAGAAACACCTTTCTATGTGGAACTACTGCTTGGCATAATAATAATAATAATGATAATAATGCATCGGTTTTATATAGCGCTTTTTTGGACACTCAAAGACGCTTCACATGTGTCATTATTCATTCACTCCATACACGGTGGTGATAAGCTACTACTGTAGCCACAGCTGCCCTGGGGCACACTGACAGAAGCGAGGCAACCAGTATGTGCCATCGGCCCCTCCGACCACCACCAACCATTCACACACACACCAGACTCATTCTAGGCAATGGGGGTGAAGTGTCTTGCCTAAGGACACAACGGCAGTTTGGCACTTTACAGCCGCAGCCGCCCCACTGTGGCTGGTGTTCCCAGAGGTTAAGTGTCTTGCCAAGGACACAACGACAGTAGTCAGTGGGAGTCGATGGTGAAAGTCTTGAGCGGGGCTTGAACCCACGACCTTCTGGCTCAAAGGCCAATGCTCTACCAACTGAGCTACTGCCGCCTCATTACTACATGATACAGGCATACAGGATTCAAAATGTTGGAAAAAAAAAACAGGGATTTTTATGTATGTAGTTTGAATGTCTTATTTGTTATTACAATAATTGAGAAGTCTTTTAACTTTTAAATTAGACCTGTGGCCATAACTAAATTAGACCTGTGGCCATAAATGCAGATTGTAGTCCCACAGTGGGACTGCAGATTGCAGATTACTGAAGGGCAGCTGTGGCTCCAGCAGTTCCACATTGATTGAATAATGCAATGTCAAGTGTTTGAGTGTTCCAAAACCATTGCATTATTATTATTATTCATTCATTAAAGGACTGAATTGAAGCATATATTGTAAAGTTTACAAAAATGATATGTTTTTTAATGATATTTAAATTGTTTAACTTTAGTTGAGTACACCATCCCATTTCGGAGATTTTTTCTAATACTTTTAGAAGTGTTGGCAAATGTTGTGTTCTTGTGTGAACTTTGTCCACATATTGTTGTCTAAATGTATAAAGTTAAAAGCTAGTGAATCCTTCTGTTACGTACATTTTAAGGTACTGTGTTTTACAATGTTGAATTGGTTGTTAGGAACTGTCTATTGTAATATTGTTGTTTATTACATGACTTGAAAATATACTGTATATAAAATAAAGAGTATGAGGGAAAGAAAGCTTTTTTTAATATAATCATACATGGTGAGTTGTATAGAAGGGCACTGGGCATGTCAGGTTCTACTGTCATCATCCAAAATATGCAGTTTACGTGTTTATTTATTATTGAATGAATTTTATAACAGATGTTGCTTTACGCAGAGTTTGGGAATACTAAGAAGAGATTTTGGAGCAGTAGTTCTCAAACGTTTCATATAACACATCAGTGGTACTAGAGCTGCAACTAACGATTATTTTGTAATCGATTAATCTATCGATTATTTTTACAATTAATCGAGTAATCGCTTGGCTGTGAATTGTGTAGAAAAAAAATATTTTTTCATCACAAAAAGCTAAAGTGGCAACACTCGAGGACGTATTGATGGCGTAAACTTAAAGTAAATGTTTGTAACAGGCTCTTTGTGCTAATTCTGCTATCTGATTGGATGAGACAGACAGATATTCATGAAATTATAAAAACAAAGTCGGTTTTAATCAAAAATACTACATTTTCATGTCATTTTTTGCTCTGTTTGAGTCCGTGTGAACCATAAAACGATTAATCGATTACTAAAATAGTTGTCGACTATTTCAATAATCGATTAGTCGTTAATTAATCGATTAGTTGTTTCAGCCCTAAGTGGTACTCAACTCGGTGTGCTTATGCTTGGTCGGAAGGCACCTGCAGCCACCCAGCTTTTCGAGGATCAAGTTGAATACCCCTGAACCATAGCCCTCAAAGTAAACCATACAAAACATTGTTATAGTAGAGGCACACGAAAGAGCCGACCATCTCTAAAATACCAACACAAGACTATGTTGTTATTTTACCCTATTTGTGGAACTGTAATTTAGACATAAATGTTTTTTGAATGGCTTGGTTATTTTTTTGTATTTGATACTAATCCATATAAAATATTTATTTGAATAGTATATATTTTTATATTTTTACCTTTTATTGATAAAAATAATACAGACCTCTACAAAGACAATCAGGTCTATAAGTTAAATCTTAATTTGTCAGTAATTTAAAGTAAACAAAGGAATTAAATAAAGTTCAGAAACAAAAATAAATAAAAAAGTTCCTTTTGAAGTTTAAGTGTGTTGTGGATTTCATGTTATACCTGGAGTCTTGTGTTCTTCTTTTATTACTATGATGAGACAGTACATTATTATTTTATTTTCTGTTTAAAAATGCTATCTATGGTTAAAGGGACGCAAGTTTAGTAAAGGTGTATATTCTTTGGTAACTGTTGCTATTTTAGGTTCCTATTTTTTTTGGATATCTGCGTCTGTTAATATACACAGTCTATGGTCTGTAGGTATAGTTTTATTTTCAGTTTGCCCAGTTACTGATTATGACATCACCAACCACGTGACCAAATACTGATTTGCTATTGGTCGCTGAGCACTCCCCGGGGTTGTTGTTTTCGTGTTGAATCAGGAAGCTCCCTTCTATTTTAAAATTATTTGAGAAATTGAGCATTAAGTGCTCCATATATTTCTTGTTCCTGGGAATCGAATAAAACAACTAAAGTTAGTAACTACTGGAGAGTTTTATTCTTCATTCACGTACATTTCTCTGTTAGCAGATTAAACGGGAGTCTGTCTTTGTTTCTTAGGGCGAGTGAGTGAACTTAACTTGTCGCGGCATGTGTCGACACTGGACTGTGTCTTTCTATTGAGTCAGCAAGCAGGTAAGTCTCATGCTCTGTAGGTAACTAGCTGTTACTCCATTACGGATCAAATTTTACGCATAATAGAACATATCAGTGGACTGTTTCCTCTATCTTGGCATTTGTCATCAGTGGAAGTTGAATGGCTTTTACTTTCGTTTGTTACATACTGGTTTCTTTTTCCGTGTTTAAAGGGTTTCTAGTATTTATTTGTACATAATCTAATATAATCTAATATCTCGTCTATTCCAGGGGTATATAACTGGATTTGGATATTATAGAGATGCGATTTCAAAACATGCTTCTCAAACATGTTTTACAAAATAATACCTAGATTGTTAGTGCTACATGATCTAAATACTCTTTCTACTACCTTGATCAAATCTGAACCAGACTTTATTGTTGAACCAGACTTTTAAAGTCTAGTATTTGACTTTATTGTGTTAATAATCCAAAAGCCTGATGAACCTGTATTTACTTGAATGAGTTTAGAGTACCACATAGTTTGTTGCAGTTTCCATAGGCAAGACAATTCACCTTATTTCCTAGTAAGAATCTGCCATGGATGCATTATTGTAGTTCTATGGTGAGCACAATAAAATCAGATAGGTTGACCATTTTCATTTTTTTCACCCTGAATATTGATTTTTCAGGGCCCCAAGCCTCCTGGATGGTGGATGTGCAGCAAAGCCATGGCACTGGATGAAAGATCCCTGAGTTGTTTGCTTCGAGTCCGTCACAGACTGGAGCAGGACATCAAACCCACCTATTTGATGGATCACATGATCAGTGATGGAGTGATGACGGTAGATGAAGAAGAGAATGTCAGGACTAGAGTGAGTTATCCCTTCTCTTCAACACTCATTTGTAGTAATGGGTATATTTAACATGAATAATTATGCATTAAATAAATGTATATTAGTGATTTTAAATAATTTAACACACTTTCAAATGAATTCCTCTAAATAGGCAACAAGAAAGGATCAAGCTGTGGCACTTCTTGAGTTGATGCTCCGGAAAGATAACCGTGCCTACATTTCATTCTACAATGCGTTAATAAAGGAGACATATGACGACTTAGCCAGCTTGCTTCATGCAGACTTACCATGCTCATCACCATCAGGATACAAGAGTTGTATTGACGGTTATACACCTCATGGTAAGAGAATTGGACTGTGCTAAGGGCTTATTCTGTTTCTATATTGGTCTGATCTCTTTTTTTGTCCATTATAGTTCAGACCGTCCTCAGTGAGGGTGGTGTACCTCAGAGGCCAGTTGTATTTGTCAGTAGACCTGAGCTCTTGAATAGAGTCCGAGAGAAACTTTATCAGCTTCAGAAGGAGCCTGGCTGGGTCACTATTTTCGGGATGGCCGGATCTGGCAAGTCCGTGCTCGCTGCTGAGGCTGTTAGACACCACAACGTCATAGAAGGTAACCCACTTACATCTTTGTCTATATTGTAATCCTTGACTTATATGTTCTTTTCTGTGCAGAGTGCTTCCCTGGAGGCATCCACTGGTTGTCCATTGGTCAGCTGGATAAGCCAGACCTACTTGTGAAGATCCAGTCGCTGTGCTTTCGGCTGGAACAGGGATTAGATGCACAGTTGCACCATAGACCGCCAAACTCACTGGAGGAGGCCAAAGAACGCTTACGCTTCCTAATTCTTAAAAGATATCCCAGGTTCACTGATTATAAACATATATTGTAGTTAAAATATATAATTAGAATTACTACAACTGACTTTGTGGCTAGTGCCAAGCCATTTGAACTACCCACTTAAAACTACGTGGCTGTATATCTAATTTCTACTTTTATTGAAATAGATCCTTGCTGATTTTAGATGACATCTGGGATAGTGCTGTACTGAAAGCATTTGATATTAATTGTCGAATTATGCTGACTACGAGAAACAGAAGTCTCACAGATTCTGTCAGTGGTATGTTGCTATCTTCTTTAACGCCAATGACCCTGAACTGGCCGCATTGCTCATCAATTGCTTTATACTTTTAAAGGTGCAAAGTTTGAAGTTGAAGTAGAAAGTGGTCTGGATGAAAAGAAAGGATTAGAGATTTTAGCTTTGTATACAAACAGTAAAATCCATGGACTTCCTGAAGAGGCGCGCAATATTGTCAAAGAATGTAAAGGTCTGTAGTTTTGTAGTTTCTGCCACATTCAGCAATTAATTTAAATGTTTTAATTATGCTTATGTTTATTTTTCAGGATCTCCTCTTGTGGTGTCTCTCATTGGGGCCTTATTGAAAGAAAGGCCCGATCGTTGGCGCTACTACCTGGCCCAGCTCCGACAGAAGCAATTCAAGCGTATAAGAAAGTCCTCCTCCTATGATTATGATGCTCTTGATCAGGCTATGGCCGCCAGCATCGAGGTGCTCCCTGAGGAACACAGGGAACTGTATAAAGACTTGACTGTTTTGGAGAAGGACGTCAAAGTGCCTGCTAAGGTATAGATAAATAATAATATAAAAACCTTTTGTGTGAAAGAATTCATATTAGGTGTTTTTCCCTTTGTCCCAGGTGCTATCCATATTGTGGGACTTGGATGTTGAGGAGGTGGAAGACATTCTGGATGAATTTGCCAACAAGTCTCTGCTTTTTGTGGACTTGAACAATAAACCATATCTTTATTACCTCCATGACCTCCAGTTAGACTTCTTGATAGAGCAAAATCGCAGTGAAATTGAGGTTAGTTATTGTAATTTCACATACAAACACAAAATTGTAACCTGTTGTGTGTTTGGTTGTGGGTTAGGGTCTTCACACAAAGGTTGTGCGTCAGTACCAGCAGTTCTATAAAAGTAGACATCCTACTTCAGGTGATGAAGAAAGTCTCTACTGGATTCGATTCCTGACAGATCACATGGCAAAAGCCAATCTTACTCAGGTAAAATCTTTGATAACATACTACAACTATAACTTCACCAGGCTTCACCAAAGCGCATGTTTGTATGTTTATCCATCAATTCAATTGGGCTGAGTAAAAAATGAAAATCTATAGATGTGTGGTGTTTAATCCTATTTCGTAAAAGCCCAAGCGCTGCTTTCTGTGATACAATACTTGATAGTATAATTCAGACAACATATAGCGGCCTTAAATTGTGCTTACCATTTACTTTTACAGTGTAGACAGTGAGGTAAGAGTGCCAATTTGTTGTTGAAAGGATGGCTATTGCGATTGAAAAGTTGGTCCTCTTTGGTTCTCTCCTTTGATTGGTTGAACAAATACAGGCTGTATTGTGTACTAATGCATGTTTTTTTGTGTCTAGGAGCTGTACTCCCTTATGTTCTCACTGGACTGGGTAACTATTAAATCACAAGTTATGAGTCCAGCTCATCTTATCAATGACTACATAGACCATGGACTCATGTTGGATGAAGTAGTGAGTTGTATTTACTTAAAGTAAAGACACAATTCTGTCATAGATTTACATGTACATAATCCTGTTCCAGAATAGCGTGGTACGCAGTCAGTTCCAGGAGTTTCTGTCTTTGAATGGTCACCAGCTGGAGCATCGTCCAGATGTGGTGCAGCTGGCCCTGTCCGAGCCCCACACCTCAGAGGTCTACAGACAAGCACACAGGCAGGCGCTGGAGCGGTCCAGCAAAGGAAAACTCTACTTTGACTGGCTGTATGTGCTACGTTGTTTTCTATCTTAAGTTTGTATCATTGTTTATTTAATACTTTCATGTTTTATCAGAAATAAAAACTGCGTAGAGAGTCTGTCTCGTTTGGTAATACACCCGCAGCAGGGCTCTCTATACTCTGCTTGTTTCTCTCACGATGGAACAAAGATAGCATCATGTGGAGCCAGTAAGACCCTGAAGGTACTGAGAAAAACATGTCCAAATACACTTGTTGTAAATGACACATGGTTATAATGTTTCTTTTATTTACATAGATATTCAAAAGCAATTCAGGTGAGAAGCTCATGGAGCTCCAAGCTCATGAAGACGAAGTGCTCTGCTGTGCCTTCTCCCCAGATGACCAATTAATAGCTACCTGCTCTAGTGACAGAAAAGTGAAGGTAAATAGTCAACTTTTCGTTTAACATGTTTACATTTGTTTTGTTAAGATGTGTTTATACTGTATGCTGTGTATAGGTGTGGAATGTGGAAAGGGCAATGCTTATACGAGTCTTTGAGGAGGAGCACGAAGAGCAGGTCAACCACTGTCAGTTTACAAACACCACACAGCGGCTTTTACTGGCCACATGTTCCAATGACAAGTTCTTAAATGTTAAAGTAAGTTCTGTTTTATATTAGTATTCAAACTACGATGTAATTCAAACTGCAATTCATACAGTTTTATGTATTTCTTGTGTCTTAGCTTTGGAACCTCAACAAGCCGTCTTCTCAGAACACCATGTTTGGTCATTTTGAACCTGTCAACCACTGCTGTTTTTCACCAGATGATGCATTTGTCTCCACCTCCTCTAATGATGGCACTGTGAAGGTGACGTTCAATAATTACACACATTCACTTTCAGAACAGTAGCTGAACCCTCTTTTTTTTCTCAGCTTTTTCAGGCGTCTTCTGCCAATGAATGGAAGGCAATAAATGTTAAAGACATGTTTGATGGTGAAGAAGAAGTACTTGTCAAATGCAGTACTTGGACCGCCGATGGGAAACAGATCGCATGCGCCGCCAGACATGCAGTTTTGGTTAAAAGAAATTACTGTCTATAATATCAGCCATACAATACATACGTTTGACTGAAATCATGCAATGTTGATTTGGTGTCCTATAGGTGTTTGAAGTTGCCACTGCTGATATGCTGTTTGAGGTCCGAACAAATAGATTAAGTACAGTGCAGTTCTCTCAAGCCTGCCCTACAAGTAGCCTTCTCGCCATTGCATATTCAAACTATGGGGTTGAGGTACGTCTTCCAAACTGATCTCTCTTTAATCTTTCATGAATCTTTTTTTAATCTTGAAGTCTTACGATAAGGTAAAATAAGATGAAGTTTCTTGTCCCAAAGGAAATTTTCTGTGGAAAACAGTGCTACACAGTCTGCATGAATGAATAAAAATAAAAAGGAATATTACAGGAAAAAAACATGGTGCAGTAGTGCTTTGAAGTCTGTTTGGTCCAATTCTGCATCAAAATAAATAGGAGGTCCTGGATAAAAAAAGAAAAAGAAATTGTTCATACAGTTTTAGAACATTTTCTTTATTAGTTATGTTTATTTAAAACGGTCACTGATGTTGGGACAAAGGAGAGCTTGAAGCGGTTTGTCCTGTGTCTTTATTTTGCCAATTTTTTTTTCAGCTGTGGGATCTGGAGTCTAGAAAAAAGATGGCTGACTGCAGTGGTCACCTGAGTTGGGTTCAACGTCTTCAGTTCTCCTCGGATGGTTCTCAGCTCCTCTCCTGCTCTGATGACCAGACTGTTAGGGTAACTATAACTAATATATTGTATGTTCCTACAAAGTTGTACTGTATAGTCTACCCATTTTTAACACGTTTGATATTTTTAACTTTAAAATGTTTTCACGTTCATGCTCTGTTTTCCTTTTAAAATGGTAGTTATGGGAGACAAACAAAGTGCACACTTCTTCTGCTGTTTGCCTGAAAAGAGACTCTGACATCATATTCAGTGATGAAGAAATCATTGTTTCAGCTGCTGACTTTTGTAACAGGCTGCAGGTAATTGTGGACTAGAAATGTTGAGAAATGTATTTGGTTTAATCAAAATAACCAAAATTCAATGTTTCAGGTGCGTGATGGGAAGAAAGGACAGGTGTTGTTCCAGTCTGAGGAGAAGCCATCAAGGATTCGTTGCACCTGTTTGTGCCAACAGCTCTCCATCGTGGCCCTGGGACAAGAAGATGGCACTGTGCAGGTATTCCATTTGTTTGTTGGTTTTCTCTCTTTTTTAAATAATTTATTCAAAACCTGCATACACATTTGTTTACCTTTATCAACACAAGAAATAACAGGTAGATGGTTTGAAAAGGGTTCAATGAAGCAAATGTCCGCCACGCACACACACACACACACGCACATCCCCCCACCCCCTTCACACATGCAACACTTTTCAGTGCTATAACAATACCATGCAGTAGAATACAAAAACACAACACTACATACAAGTAATACAACACATAACACTAAACCATTCAATTTATTTTGCATTTTTTTGTATGAGTCATTTGGGCCTCGAGAAGAAACAAAATCAATAATACAAAAGAAAAGTACAGAAAAGACAGACACTACCACATGTTTACCATGATCTGACCTCCAAGTATTTTAAATGATTGTGTACAATAATTTTAGGATTATTTACATGTTTATAAGTAATGTTAAATTCAACCGTCTTTGAAACACATACATACATTAATGTTTATGTTTTTTAAAATCTGATATTCAGATCTTCTCAAAATCTTATTGTAATCCTATCTCTAATACACATTATTTTTATGCCACCTAAATTGTATACACAAAAGTGTTCTGTGTTGAGCTAACACCAGGGGGAAATGTTGAGCTACATCAGATCTCTCATTTTACCCAATAGTTTCAGGTTCCCCCATCATAGATACCTCCATCATAGATCACCTTATATACACTTTGTGAGCATTACCACTTTGTGTAGATTATTCTGTGTGTAAAAGGAATAATATGTGAACATTAAAGTGATTGTCTGGAGTTTGTCAGAAAGAGAGACAGAGGGGTGCTTGATTTGAAAAAAACGACGCAAGCTCCCAACCCCTTCCTTTCTGATTGGTCTACGCCTACGTTTCCGTAACACTTTCAAATGTTAATCAGAGAACACATTATACATATACATTATTAATACACATGCACAGAGGTTTTCAGAATTATTTGTTAACGTTTTAATTAAAAAAATAATATTTTTATGCACAAAAAAGTGATCGCGGCAAACCCGGAAGTGCACATTATAGGACACATCTGCAGAGGATCTGATTATGGATATAGGTTCAGTATATACATAAGTACCTCAGCGCAGATGTTCAGAATTCTTTGTTCAGTTTTCATGAAGTTCCAGAGCCTAATAAAGGCTTGATATGGAGGCTCTGCGAAAACAAACAACTGAGCATGCCCTTGGCATGACTCGATTGGTTAACGTGGACGGCACCGTGGATTCTGAGCTATAGCTAAGAGAAAGGAAGGCGGGACTTGCCCGTAATATTAGAATTAATAAAATGACTTATTTTATATCAACATTTAAGGCCAGGAGGTCAATTTAACACATTTCATGTAATTCATTTAGAGTTACAGACTATCACTTTAAAGAAAAAAGGTGGCGATGTGAGCAGTTGGTTTTCATAAGAATACATTTTTTTTGCATATGGTGCATTTCATGCTGGACTCAAACTCGATGTGGTTTTGTGTCACATTGTCTTTGTGTAGAACAAGAAGACAATGAGGGGATAAGGGAAAAATTGAGCCTTTGCTTTGCTGTTAAAGTTGGACTCAAGCACACACAGACAGAGCCCTCCATTTACAAGGAGCATGATGGGAGAAAGCAGCTTCACAATACAATACAATACAATACAATTTATTCTTGTATAGCCCTAGGTCACAACAGAAGTCATCTCAGAGGACTTAACAAAACCATTGAAATCACCAACACAGGTCAGAGAATCAACAGTTAAAACACATGAAGAATATAAAGCACACACAGAAGAAAATGTCCATACATGTTGTAGAATGCTAAAGTGTCCTGATCATCACCAATCCTTTCTGTTGGACACTAACTGTCCAACAAGACCCTCCTGCATCGACAAGGAAAAACTCTTAAAAAAAACCCAGTGGGAAAAAGTGAGAAACCTTGGGGAGAACTAGGGAAACCCACAGGGAGGGAGACCCATAGTTTGAGAAAGGGATCCGCTCCTCCGGACGGACAGGCTAATGATCCAGGACCTAAGCTAGCTACAGGACGTGGACCAGTGGCCGCTGAACGTGGACAGGTCCGGTGCAGGACCGAAGCACTCCCAGGCGGGTCGGGCGGGGCAGTCCGCAGGTGTAGATGGAAGAGGCCAGGCTCAGAGATCCCGTCATCGTACCATGAAACAGACAATGGGACAACGGGTGAATAGCAATGAACAAACTACAGTCAGAATCCTAAAAATGCTAAACAGATAAAGTAGGAAGGAGGAGAGGATAGTGCTCAAGTTACCATACTTCTCCCAGCAAACTGACTCCCTATGCAGCTTGACTAACACTCTGAGGAGTTTAACCTTCTCCGAGTCTTACCTTCCTAGCCATATGCTAAACTAAAGAGGACTGTTTTAAACCTAGCCTTGAATAAAGAATAACATACAGCATAATATATAACATAATATACAACATAACACAATACATTATTGAATAATATATAACATAATATATAACATAATACAGCATATATATATAATATATACACTACATATTATATATTACCTAATTATATGCTAAATTAAAGTAAAGTGCTTTAAGCCTGGCCTTGAATGTGGAGACCGTATCTGCTTCCTTAACATAAATGGGAAGCTGATTCCACAGTAAAGGAGCTTGGTAGCTAAATGCTCTGCCACCAACAGTGACCTTTGAGACCTTAGGGACCACCAGACGTCTGGCGTTTTGTGAGCGCAACGCTCGACCTGGTTGATACGACACTAACGTGTCTTGGAGATAAGAGGGAGCCAAGCCATTTATGGCTTTATATGTTAAGAGTAGGATTTTAAACTTTATTCTGTACTCCACAGGGAGCCAGTGGAGTGATTTTAACACCGGAGTTATGTGCTCCCTCCTTTTGGTACCTGTTAAGATCCTAGCTGCTGTATTCTGAACGAGCTGGAAACTCTTCAAAGAGGCTTTAGGGCACGCTGCCAGTAAAGCGTTACAGTAGTCGAGCCTTGAGGTGACAAACGCGTGAATGAGTTTTTCCGCGTCACTTTTAGGAAGGAAATTCCTAATTTTAGCGATGTTCCGTAAGTGGAAGTACGCCGTTTTAGTTGCTTGGCTTATATAAGCCTTGAAGGAGAGTTCTTGGTCAAAAATGACTCCAAGATTCCTCACAGTGTTACTGGGTATTATACTGACATTATCGAGAGTAACCATCTGGTTAGTGAGGGAGTCACGCAGGCGCTTCGGACCGAGTAGGATCACTTCTGTCTTCTCCGGGTTGAGAAGTAGGAAGTTAAGAGTCATCCACATTTTAAGGTCCTTTATGCAGGCACTGAGCTTTTCTAGCTGATCTGTCTGGTTAGGCTTCATCGACAGATAAAGCTGTGTGGTCATCTGCATAGCAGTGGAAATTAATTCCATGCTTTTTAATAATGTTTCCCAGTGGCAGCATGTAGAGAGTAAAAAGAATCGGTCCGAGTACCGAACCCTGCGGCACACCGAATTCCACTCCAGAATAAGGCGACGAGTCCTGATTCACATTGACGAAGTGATATCGATCTGATAAATAGGATTTAAACCAGCCAAGGGCTGTTCCTCTAAGACCTATATCACATTCTAGCCTCTGCAGTAGAATGCTGTGGTCTATTGTGTCAAATGCAGCACTAAGGTCCAGTAGGACCAGCACTGACACTTGTCCATTATCGGCAGCTAGTAGTAAGTCATTTGTGACTTTGACTAGTGCCGTTTCAGTGCTATGATGAGCTCTGAATCCTGTTTGAAAGACTTCAAACATATTATTTTCCTGCAGGTGGCAGCGGAGCTGCTCAGCTATAAGTTTTTCCAGGATTTTAGATATAAAAGTGAGGTTTGAGATCGGTCTGTAGTTTGTAAGTATTTCTGGGTCCAGGTTTGTTTTCTTCAGAAGGGGTTTGATTACCGCGGTTTTAAAAGCTTGTGGGACATAGCCACATTGTATGGATGCGTTTATTATATTTACGATAGGCTCAATTATCAAAGGAAGTATGTCTTTGAAGAGCCATGTCGGGACTGCGTCTAACATGCAAGTTGAGGCTTTTGAGGATGTGACCACAGAGATCACCTCTGCTTGGCTCACAGCCATGAATTTATCAAGGCCCACTGAAGAGTCTAAGTGGGAAGTCACGTATGCCGCTTCAACCTGTCCACCACTAACAGCCGGAGTAACCTCCTCCAGTTTGTCACGGATGGATGTAATTTTATTATTAAAGAAGTGGAGAAAGTCGACACTGCTCAATGAGCTTGGAATTTTAGGCTCGATTGCGCTATGGCAGTTTGTGAGTTTAGCGACGGTGCCAAACAAAAATCTACTGTTGTTTTTATTCGCTTCTATTAAAGTTGAATAGTATTGAGTTCGAGCCCCGCGAAGGGCCTTCTTGTAGTTTCGGAGACCTGCTTTCCACTCCCTGTGGACAGGCTCCGAGTGGGAGTGGCGATATAGCCTCTCCAATTTTCTGACGTCCTGTTTTAAAGTGTGGAGTTGAACACTGTACCAGGGCGACGATGATCTAATCCTAATGGTTTTCTGTTTTAAAGGAGCTGCTGCATTTAATGCAGATTTTAAAGACTCCATAGTGTTGCCCACCGTTTGGTCAATGACTGAGGGACTGCAGCTGCTGTGAACAGGTTCACCTGCAGCAGTATTCAACATAGGCTGTATTAGTTCTTTGAACCTTGTGATAGATTTATCATTTAAGGTTCTTTTCATTATGGTTTTATCTTGCGGGACAGGAAAGTCCTCCAAAGCGAGATCAAACGTGATCAAGAAATGGTCAGACAGCAACGAGCTTTGACGCTGGATGTCAACATTGGAGACATCACAGCCGTAGGTCAGGACAAGGTCCAAGGTGTGGTTATGAATGTGAGTAGGTTCCTCGACATTCTGAGTAAAACCAACACCATCTAGTACGGCGCTGAAAGCTTTGTTTAAGCTGTCAGTGCTGTCGTCCACATGTATATTGAAGTCTCCAGCTATAACTATGTTTTCCCATTCCAAAACTAGGTTTGAAATGAAGTCAGAGAATTCTGTTAGGAACTCGCTGTAAGGACCAGGAGGTCGGTATAAAACTATAAATAGTACTGCTTTTTGTTTTCTCCACCCAGGACAGGTGATTGAAAGTGTTAAGTTTTCAAACGAGTGAAAAGCGTTGTTGGTTTTGGGACTAAGAAGTAAGTTGGTGTGTGATATAATCGCAACACCACCGCCGCGACCTGTAGCTCTGGCTTTCTGGTAGTTAACATGCGTCGGAGGAGTGCACTCATTCAATCTAACGTACTCGTCCTGTTGGAGCCAAGTCTCCGAGAGCGCAAACAGATCCAAGCCCTTGTCTATAATAAGTTCGTTTATGAGAAGCGATTTAGACGAGATTGATCTGACGTTCATTAAACCACATTTAACAACCCTACCGCTAGAACTATTTCTGTCTGTCTGAACTTTTATTAAGTTACTGTGTCTGACACCTAGGTCAGATTTCCTCGCATATAGTGCTTTAGACTTCAAGCGGGGAACACACACAGTTTCAATCTGACTAGGTTCTGAGGCTAGTAACTGAGCACACACAGGCACACACATACATGCACACACAGTTTCAATCTGACTAGCTTCTGAGGCTAGTAACTGAACAGATGGGGGCTCAGAGGTTGTGGCAGAGCAGCTCTGCACCCGGGCCTCAGTTCTGCATCGTCATTTGAGCCGAGCAGAACAGTTTAGAGCCAGGGCCAAATTCTTAGCCAAAAGGGATGTACCCGCCAACGTTGGGTGGATATCATCCGAGCGGATGAGACCGGGCTTTCCCCAAAAGGCACTCCAATTGTCAACATGAACAACACCACTTCGAGGGCACCAGCCAGACAGCCAGCGGTTGAAAGCCGAGTGTCTGCTGAATGCTTCTGCACTGCTAGTGCTAGGTAGGGGCCCAGAGAAGATGACAGTGTCGGCCATTGTGCTAGCCAGCTTGCACACGGCGGCGACTTGCAGCTTCAACACCTCGGACTGTTTCCGCCGAACGTCATTACCACCCGCGTGAATAACAATTCGACGGAAACGCTGCTTGTGGGTCATCATGAGCCTCAGATTCCCTTCAATATCGCCAAGCCTGGCCCCAGGGAAGCACCGAACAGTGGCTCCTGGGATCTTAACACCTCTAACAATAGAGGAGCCAATTACCAGCGCATCAGCGACTCCATCGGCTCTCTCAGCAGCTCTCTCAGCGGCTCTCTCAGTGGGGCCTTCTTCCCCGCCCGGCCGTGCGGGGGCGCAGCCGGACAGAGCGTCCCAGCGATTGTAAATGCTAACAGGAGGAGGCCCAATGGGGAAACTACCAACAACACGTCGCCCTTTCCGAACAGTCACAAAGCCATCACTATCCTGGTCTTGTCCCAGCTGCGGAGGACGGGCTGGGAGGCTAGGCTCGCTTCACCTCAAAGTAATTTACAAAACAAGAAAAGAAATCAATGAATTAAACCAATGAAATAACAAAATATTGTACAATCATTTCAAGAACAGCCAGTCAGTTGTTTCCACTGAACTGTTTTTAATCTGGATGTTAACGTTGTCAGAGTAGAGGCCTGTTTCACATTTTCAGGAAGACTGTTTCAGGTTTTATTCAGAAAAGATAGATAGATATATAGTTATTAATCCCCCGTAGGAGAAATTCAGGTGTCCAGCAGCAGAAGACTTTTTTTTTTTTGTACAGTCAGGTTTGTAAAATACATGTTATCTGTCTATTCTATGCTTGCTTTCTTAGGTTTTGGAGGTTCCCTCTGGAAAGATTTTATCTTCTCTTCAAGGCCACACAAAGACTGTGTTCCACTGCCAATTCATCCAGAACGGCCAAACTCTCATCACATCCTCTGAGGACACTACTCTCCGGGTGGGTTATTCCTGCTCGTTTACTTTTTTTTTTGTTTTTTTTTTTTTTCTATCAACCAATACATTATTTTCTTCTGCAGTATAGTAAAGCTGGTTTTGCCTCACTGAGACTTGATATTGGTTCTGCTATTGATTTACAACTCTTCACTTTTCTCTGTGCAATATTGATTACTATTATTTACTTTAAAAAAAAACTGCTTACCCTGCCAAACCTTTTGCTGTCCTTTCTAGTGGCATAACACATCTGCACATTATTATTATCGATTAATGTAGCTCTTCTAGATTTTGACGAGTAACCGAATACCGCAGTTGTTTAGAACAAAATGTAAGAGTTTATGTAAAGATGACGTTAAGTCACCATTAGACATCCTAATTGTATCTGTTTTATCAGTAAAAATAGTTATGTACACAATTCCTGATTATATGTTGAAATCTGTATTTAAAGCAGCTGACGGTTGTTTGATTACCAACCTATTTGATTTATTGAAAAACTTAATTATTGTGATTATTCGATTGATTGTTATATCCTTACAGAACACAAACATTTTATTTGTTTCTTAAAAGGACATTAGGTAATCTTAAAATAATCCTCATCTTAAAATCCTTAAAAAAAAACATTTTTTCTTGCAATGTGTAAAAGAGTTTTCAGAAGGCTTGATGAAACAGGAACCTGAAACCCATAAATGGATACATTTGAAGCTTGTGTAATTTGATATTCTCAATAACATGTCCTTGGTCATGTTTGGAGATTAAATCCAGCATAGCAGCAACGCATGTTTATATATAGACAGAACTACAGAAGATAAAACACAGATTCATCTGATGACATTTCAGTGTTTTTTAATACTTGTATGCATGGCTGAGTCTCTGATGTGTTAGTGGGTTCCAGAGGGTGGGGGCAGCAGCAAATTGGGCTCATTATTAATTAAATGATATATTATTTATTTGGCACAGCGCATGTTAATGAACATACCTTTCAGATTTGACAGATGACAATGGATTAAAATTATTCCAAGGCTTCAAACTGTTGCATTTTTGTCCCACAGTCACACTCTAATTGTACATATACACACTACTATTGTGGTGGGAGAGGAAACGCACAGGGAGAACATTCAAACCACACTCAGAAAGGCCATGTTTGGCCCAGGAATCGAACCCAGATCAAGCTCTTACCGTTGTTTGTGCCCTGGTCTTGTGTTTTAGCATTGTTGTGTGTGGTGTGATTGGATGTACTCTTGAGATTTGTTTTACATTTTTCCTCTGTGCAGTTGTGGCGCTGGCAGTCAGGGGAGTGTAAAGTACTACAAGGCCATACGGAGCAAGTCAGAGGTTTCTCCGTGTTGTCCAACCCCCCCTCAGGGGTGTTATCTTGGTCTTTCGATGGCACAGTTAAGGTACCTTGAGTTGATTTTTTTTTATTATTGATGCTTCCATGTGATAGAAGACACTAACTTTTCTATCTGGTTTCTGCTAAACACTAGGTGTGGGACATGGAGAGTGGACAACAGCTACAAGACATTGACGCTCATAAAGGAGCCATCCTGTCCTGTCAAGTCTCACCAGATGGATCTCTGTTCACCACCACCTCTGCAGACCGGACTGTCAAGGTTCCAGTCCTCTCAATAGAATGTTGTCTGAAATGGCTGCCAAACTGGATTCAGTTTTTTAGATGATGTGAATGAGGCAGGAATGTAGACTTTACCATCCACACTATTATTTGAGGATACATATAGATGTGCTGCCTCTTATTTCTGCATGTTTTTCTTAACCTTTGACTCTATTTTAAGGTGTGGCGCTGTGAAACCTGGGACTGTGTTCACACACTTACGGGCCACTCCGACTGCGTCAGGAGCTGCAGATTCTCATGGGACGGTCGGCGCATAGCAACAGGAGACGACAATGGAGAGATAAGAGTGAGTGTCAGAAAAGGATATAAAAACAACACAATCTATCCACATGAGATGAATGCCCTCTGGTGGCCTTGTAGCAGAACTTCATTATGCAGAAATTAAACAACCCATTAAATGCAATTACTGTATAGAAAATCACTCGAAGAGTGCATACCTCTCCCAAGAGGCACAGTTCCACTCCTTAAAAAGGATCCAGCTCATGTGGATAAACGATACTCGTATAAAGTATACCATACTCGTATGAAGTAAACTTTCATTCTTTTTTCCTTATTTATTTGAGAAAGTGAGCTCAGCAGTGATACACTGACACTGCGGAAAGAACTTTGGAGGAGTCACAATAGTCCGTCTCTTTCGCAGCCGGGATAACACAAAAACCTGTGTGTTCATAACGAAACACAATCTGCATCGAACAGTCACAACACAAATTCCTCACTGCACACCTCACTGGGGTCACATTTGTTTGATAAAGAACTGACTAAAATAACACAATCCTGCGGGAACTGTAGGATCACGCTCCGGTCCATGCAGTGGTTTTCTTGGTTCTGTGGTTTAATGTTTACTGTCTACTGCGGTGTATGCAAATGTAGGTTGTGTAAAGCATGTTACCCCCTGTCCCAAGAAAAAAAACAATAAAGGAGTCTTATCTCATATTAACCCGTGCACAGCACTGCCATGAAAACTAAATGACTTGTTCAGTTTAGTTCTAAAAAGCGCTTGTCCTCTGCTTTCCGTCTGGCTGCTCGCTCTGAAGAAGGGCCTTGGGAGACAGATGGAGAAAGCAGAATATTGCTTCTAAAAATCCTGCATCCAGACATGTTTTGGATCACCTCCAAAATATAATGCTGTTCATTGTGCCATCACGGAGGAAATTGATTCCTTAATTATATTATTATTATTATTATTAAACTTTATTACAGACACAAAGTCCAGATAAGAAAGACATTACACAAAAACAAAAACAACAATAATCATAAAAAATACATGATTACAGCAGACTACTGTACCAGTGACGCCACAGTTCAGTCTGATAGCGTGTCGCACTGATTCTGATGTTGGTCAGGCTCATTATGATCACATTCTGACTTTGATTCAGTCGACAAATAAATCTGTACATCAGGTTTCTTAGTACAGCACGAAAAGTTCGAATCCCAGAAGAAACAAATAATAGGCTGGCACTCTCCCACCGTGACCTTTTCAACAGGATTCTTAGGCAGTCATTGTATGCCACATTTAGCTTCCGCATGCTGGATTGTCTATAGTTTGACCACAGATGTGCCGTATATAACGGTGTACAATAAGCTTTAAAAAGTGTCTTTTTCACTTCATCTGTGCATGCACCAAACCTGCGCACAAGCCTATTGGCCTGTGCATACATCATGCGGCACTGCCGTAACACATCATCATCGTCAGACAGGTTTTCAGTAATAAAATGTCCCAAGTACTTATATTTGCTACTCAACATCAGATTATTTCCACACAATTCAAATTGAGGAAACTTCAAGATTTTGTCATCTCTTGTCCGGCAAATCATTATGACACTCTTGCTGGCATTATATTTGATGTCATATTCCAGACCATACTTGGAGCAAACATGAAGAAGTTCTTGGAGGCCAGCACTGCTTGGACTCAATACAACAACATCATCAGCGTACATTAGGTGATTTACAAGAGTTGAACCAATCATACAGCCAGTCCTACATGCATTCAACCATTGTGACAACTCATCCATATACAAACTAAACAACACTGGAGAAAGAATTCCACCTTGCCTTACTCCATTGGTAACGCCAAAGGGGGCTGAGACACTACTACCCCACCTCACCTGCATTATCTGGTGAGCATACCAGTAGACTAGGATTCTCAGTATGTACTCAGGTACTCCTCGCTGACGCATTTTAGTAAATAGCTTTGGGTGATTAACCCGGTCAAATGCTTTGGAAGCATCAATGAAACATATCAACACAGAAGAGTTCTTATTCTTATATTTCCTGATTATTTCCTTTAGTGCAAATATACATAAGTCTGTGCCATGCTTTGACTTGAACCCAAATTGATTGTCAGCAGAGGAAATAATGTCTTGTATTCTACATAACAGTACCTTTTCTAAGACTTTTGATGTAATACTCGCTAAGGCGATGGGCCTATAGTTGTCAACACTGCCCATTCTTCCTGCTTTGTCCTTTATGACTGGCACCAGGGTGACAGACAAAAGTGCATCAGGCAGGATACCATGGGTCAGACAGCTGGTAAAGCAAATGGCCAGAAGAGGGGATAGTCTAATGCTGGCGTGTTTTAAATGCTCAGCATATATACCATCAGCACCACAAGTTTTATTGTCAGGCATATTTTTAATTGCTTGGTACACATCATGTGCCATTATGCTTACACACTCGTGTTTTTCTATAGCCTCCACGTTTAGTTTTTCAGCAGGTAGACAATTGAACAGGGCAGTGTAATGCTGTTTCCAGCGCTCCAATACGTTTTCAGGACCAGAAATGCCATCCACAGTACAGGGTAGTAAGTAAGTAAGTAAGTAAGTAATTATTTATATACCGCCTTTTCACTGCAGAGCTGAGTCTCAAAGCGGTTTACAATTGTTATTTTTTTGGGCACTTGTCTCTCACTCCACACAGAGATGGGAGCGGGGTCACCAGTACAGGAGGTGCATGCCAGAACTATTTTACATATTTTTAGCGGTAGGGGAAACCAGAGTACCCGGAGGAAACCTACGCAGACACGGGGAGAACATGCAAACTCCACTCAGAAAGGCCCTGGTCCGACCGGGATTCGAACCCAGGACCTTCTTGCTGAGAGGCGAGAGTGCTATCCACTCAGCCACCGTGCCGCCCAGGGTAGAGTTGTCCTATCACTGTTGAGAACTCGCACCTCCTTCCAGAAATCAATAACGTTGTTACTCAAGAGCTTCCCAGCTAAGGAATCTGATCTCATACATTCCTCATTTTTTTTAATAAACCGTATGGCATATTTATATCTAGCATTGGTGAGCTTCTTCTTTTGATACTCAGGACCCTGTCTAGGTCTTCCAGCCTGAGCCCACTCTTTAGTAGCTTCCCGGGCCTGCTCATAGTGCTCTGCTACATACCTATTCCAGCCAGGCCGCTTAGTATTTTTCTTATTTATCAGTTTACGAAAGGGGGTACCACTTTTATCTAGAGAGCTTATAATTTCATCATAAAAAACACAAATGTCTCTACTATGATTAACATCCACACAGTTTGGATCAGTACATCTGATTGCATCCAAAGGTAAACTAATACTGCAGAGTAATTTGTCAGTCTGGATAAAATAGGACATAAGGTCTTCCTTTGTGAGAGACGACCAGTCCAACTTCCCTTGATGTACAATTTTCTCATTTGTAAACAGTACTGGCAACTGTTCAACTTTAACAGAGAAATAAATAGGTATATGGTCACCTGTAACCATATCATACAGTATTTCCATTGACCCAAGAGAAGCATGCGCATCAGATGTACTAATACAGTGGTCTAGCCACGAAGTAGTATGCCATGCCTCACTGATAAAGGAATAACTGTCACATGGCAAGAGCAGCTTACTGGACAATATGTAATGATGGTCTTCACAAAACTGAACCATACATTTACCAAACACAGAGTTAAAATCTGATATGTCGGCATTCATGTCTCCTAGTACATAGATACTTGACGTAAGACAACTTTCAATAAAAGAATGTAAAAAAGCTAATTTGTTTAAATATTCATCCTCATTCTGTCGGCATTCATAAGGGGTATATACATTTAAAATGACAAAATCCTTATTATCACATGTTTACTGAACACCAATACACCAATCCACACCAAGTGTGACAACTTTAATGTATTTATCAAGAGTCTTTCTCCATAGTATTGCTACACCTCCTGCTATTCTCCCTCGGACAATACCGCGGTCATAGTCTGTAGTGGACTCTCCAGCACCATGGAAGTAGTCATTAAAAGAGTTTAACTTCTGCAAATCTTGTTGCGCTAAAAATGTCTCTTGCAAACAGAGTACATCACATTTTAATAGCAGATTGTCAATAACCAAACGTCGAGCTTTATCCCCTGCGCTGTTCCCAAGCTGCAAACCACGACAATTATAGGACAAGACTCGTATCTCCATAGATCCAAACTAGTTCGCCACCACAGTGGTGCCATTACGCACACGCCCCTCCACTGCGCCTGGCACAGCGTTACCAACGCGACGGGGCTCGTAAAACCGCCGAACAAGGGCTCCCTCTGGCCATAGTTCTGGATCATACATCTCTTTCACGTCGTTACATTCAGCACTAACTTTGAAAGAGCTGAATCGGTTGTGCACTGAGTTTAGCTTATGACAAGCGATGTCACGGCCAAGTTTTCCTTTTAGATACAGAGTTAAAGTACCTTCATCCAAATCCGGAGAAAATCTGGACGCGAACACACTCACCAGCTTGGTCCTGATCGTTCTGATGCTGCCCACAGTCCCAGTTCCAACAACGGGCTTGGTCACCCTGGGTCTCCTCACCTGCCCAGGCGCAGCAGTGCGCGTTCGTGCTGTAGTATCCTCCATTACGCGCTTGCCTTTTCTCACTACTTGACTCCACTTCGGCGACTGTGGCACCCTACACTCCGCTGAAGTGTTCGCCTGATCCATGCCAATGTTCGGAATTGACGCTGCAGTAGTGGCAACATACTCCAGCCTTTGATCCCCCGCCGCCACCAACAGTGACTCCGACGCAGCTGTACACAGGGCTACATCCACATTAGCAAGATTAGCCCGTTCATGCCTGCTCTCCAGAGCACCCACTCGGTCATGAATACCCTCCGTAACCATACGCAGGTCGTTACTAACATTTGACTGTAGTCGCACGGTCTCTTTCAAAGTGGCGACTTGAGCGCTCAGTTGCTCCATTCTAGATAGTAGACATGAGACATCCAGGCTATTGAACGTAACAGGCGGCAGGTCATCCAGATAGTGCGAAACAAATCTGGGGACATTCTCACCGCACTCGTTTAAAACTTTCAAACAGCTTTTGATATTGTTTACGTCTTTCTGTGTCCCTTTATGTGAGACGTTCCTCTGCGTGGTAGGGCAGAGCTCAAAAAGAACCTTCTTAGAGGACTCGATCCATTCAGTGTCAAATGTATTCGTAGCCAAAATCACAATCTCATCCTGGCTCATTGTCTTCAATTTGACGCAGAGAAAATTCAATAATTCATCCTCTACAACCAGTTTTCCATCAACAGTCTGATATACTTCAGGTTTCAAGCGTGAACGTTTGAATACAGGAGCAAGAGCTGGAGTAGCAGAGGCCACGTCAGCCATGTTATATGTAATACATGATTATAATACATATCAAATATGAATAGATTACAAATATTATCATATCATACAGTATTACTATAATAACTAGAACTAAATTGTATTTGCAGCTCCTTATGTGTGACATCACATGGGGATTGCATTAAAATAAAGTTTGATAAATCTATTTTTCATGTCTTTCAAAGCTCTGGAGTGTTAAAAATGGCGCTTTAATGAAGATTTGTGCTCGAGAAGGAAAAGATGGCATGGACTCACTTCACGGAGGCTGGGTGACTGATATACATTTCTCACCCGACGACTCTGTCCTCGTCTCCACAGGAGGATACATCAAGGTATGGTTTACTGCAGGAGCTGGGAGATTATTGTAGAACCATTTGATTTTTATTTTCAATGCATCACTTTTTATTCACAATTTAAATATATCATTCATGTACATCATATGAACCTACACGGTTTAATTTAACAATATAATCATTTCAAATTAGTCATAAATGTGGTAGAAATGGGATTGTGGATGTAATAAACCACTCTGGAAAAAACAACAGCTTGATTGTGATTATCCTCAAAGAAAATATATTATTTTTGTTCTTGCTCAGCTGGCAATAAAGCCAGACCGATCTTTCAGATTGGGCTAAATGTACAGTTGGATTATAGGAGATCATTTACATGTCTATTTATAAAATAACTCTCTGAAGACTCACTAGTTTGGAAAGGACTGAGTTTGTATGTAATAATATGCATCAGCCCTCAGACAAGACCCTTCCTACAGTACTTCCCAAATGGAAAATAGTTTGATATAAAATTCCCTTTTTGTATTTCTGACAGTCCAAGTCTATATATTTGAGATATTCCAGCCTATAGACGACACTAAGGTTACCTTGACCTCCGCACACAGTTATTGGACAGAGTAGATTAGAAAACAAAGCTCTGGGAAGGAGAGGAAAAGGACAATAAGTAAGTAAGTAAGTAAGTAAGCTTTATTTATATACCGCCTTTCACAGACCAGAGTCACAAAGCGGTTTACAATTGTTATTTTTTGGGCACTTGTCCTCTCACTCCACACAGAGATGGGAGCGGGGTCGCCGAACAGGAGGCGCATGCCAGACCTATTGTACATATTTTTAGTGGTAGGGGAAACTGGAGTACCCGGAGGAAACCTACACAGACTTACTTACTTACTTACTCACTATGGAGTCTGAGCAGACCTAAACCCTTTTTTTTCTTTGGTGTTATACAGTTTGGTTTCATTTTGTCACTTTTTGGCCTTTGACTTGTTTTCTGACTCCTCCTGAACCAATCCACACCTGCATAAAATGGAACACTGGATTATGAGGTTTGTATTTTTGCAAACGATGTAAATGTCCCAGTGGAAGTGAGTTGTTTTGAGGCTGAGTTTTAATTCTGCGCCTTATTTTGATCACGCTGGCTCAGAAGTAAGCACCCTGCAGTGCTGCTCTAGTCGAAAAGCAGCTCAGCATCCAAAAATATCTACCACATAAACTAGATGAGAGCAATGGGTTTTTTTAATTCTTTTTTTGATAAGCTTTTTTTTTTTTTTATACATAGTGTTTTAGGTTGTTAGATGTTGGAAAGTATTAAGTTTCAGGGTGGCCTAGTTTCTTTGTTGATCTTTACTGTTGAATATATCAAATATATAAATAAAAAACTGGCAGACAAATATTTATTTAGCTGTTTTCTTGTCACCTGGCTAACACCACAAGTGAATATTTATTTTGTAATGTAGTTCACAATTATTTGAGCATACACAACCGGACGGGTATTTCATAGATGGCTCTGTACTTGGGTCCGTGTACTTTTGCGTTCAATAAATTTTCAATTTTTGAAGGGAAATGGAAAATCGAGAAAAGGCTATTTTGCATTTTCAGGCACACAGCAATATACAAAAATGACCATTTTGGTTATTTTCATTGCTTATAAGACTTATATATATTATAATAACCGGATTTGGGAACTAGAAAATGCAATAATTAACCTCTTTTAATTATGTCTATAATACATTTCGGCGTCAATCGATTACCTGGAAGTGAAACAAGTTTGTGTACTCGCACGGGATTAGTATTACCTGTGGACCCCTGAAAATGTGTGATAATCACGGAGGACGTCTATTTTCACTGACATCTCACATAACGGACGCACGTGCGCGGGTCTCCCCGCTTCACACAGTTCATAAAGTCTGGCGTCTGACCACAGCAGCCACAGGGACCATGAGGACAAACATTTTACTGCTCTACAGTTCTCTGGCCCATACTGTCTATATTTTGTATGGACTACTACCCAGCTAAGATAAGTGCGAGCCGACAAATAGTAACGCCTGCAGCAACACGTCTGTAAGGTTAGGACAAAGGAGTGCAAAGTAAATGTACAAATACAACCCATCGGTCTGATCATTTCGTGTCAGTGACACATTACACTGTCCTCTACACTTCTCCATAGACCTCACAGAGACAGCAGCAGCCGCGACTCTGCAGCTGTGTTCACAGCCGCGATACAGTCTATGCGCGATACGTGACCCCTCTGCTCATCGACAAAAACATCGCAGAAAGAAAAGCGAAAGCGGCAATCGCGATCACACTGACATGCAGATTCTCACGGGATTAGTTTTATTACAGGACGTCTGTGTTTGGACAAATACAGGAGGTCATTTGCGTATTAAATTATACTAAATTAGAGCGAATAGGGCTGAAGTAAACAAACTTGTTTCACTTCCGGGTAATCGATTGAGGTTAATTATTGCATTTTCTAGTTCCCAAATCCGGTTACTATAATATATATATATATATATATATATATATATATATATATATATATATATATAATGTCTTATAAGCTATGAAAAAAACCAAATTGGTAATTTTTGTATATTGCTGTGTGCCTGAAAATGCAAAATAGCCTTTTTTCAATTGTCCATTTCCCTTTTAAAAAATAGAAAATGTATTGAACGCAAAAGCACACAGACCTACTTGACACCAATTTCTAACACAAAATAATTGTATGTATAGTTTTTATGGGTACCTCAAAATTTTAGGAATTATAAATTGTGTAAAACAGTTAAGCATTTTTCTTGCTTTTTTTTTTTGTTACATTTTTTTCTGCTTTTTCTGTTACCGGGTTGCGGGGGCAGCAGTCAGGGATGACTGTTTAAGAGTAGAAAAGTCGAAACGCCTAATATGGGACTTTTAAGCTTTTGTATTGTATACATTTTGTTTTATCACAATGTCATAAAAACACAGAGAAAGTCACAATTCCTCCCTTTGCTCACCTGTCCTGTTTTGAGAAAGCAAATCTATTGATGGATAGAAGTGAATCACTCGGGCATTAATATTTCAAGGCACCAAAGCTGGTATAAATAATGCATCTGGGTATCGAAGTGGCTCTCTTTCTACCGCCGCCTGGTTTGGTCACACAAATCTTTCAAACTCCAGCTGATAATCCTGCACTTTATGCTTCCACCTATTGTTTTGTGCCTCTGGAGCGTACGTTTCTCCTGTTTTTTAATATTGAGAAGAAACAAGACATTCCCTATTCCCCAATGGCTCCAGTCCACACCAGAACTATTTATGTTCAGAGGAAGATTAATTACATTGAATTGAGGCGTCTCACACTTCAGCGCCCTCACAAACTGTTACATGGGGTGTGTTCCCGGAGACAGCCTGAGTTAGCACACCTATTTATCCAGGGCAAAACTGCGAGGTCCTGGCTGGTAACATAAATAAATCACATTGTTTTCCCTGTGTTGTGGTGACCCCTGCTGTATGGGAGTGTAGCCGTTCATATTGCTTATCTTTACGTGCAATGTGGTGTGTCTTTGTACGATAAAGTTGGAGTGGATGTATAAAAAAATACAGTACAAGTAATCTCTGTACTTACCTCGCCTGTTGGCGTGATGGCAGCATGTTTTTTATTCAAAATTAAATATTCCCAATATCTTAAGTAGCCAAGCCTCCCCCAGCAATTGTGTACCCACAATTGCTGAGCACACACACAAAAGAAAGGTTAAAAGAAAAATATTTGTTTTTATAATGTATTGGTTTTATTTAGCATTCACATGAAGGTGGCTCCACAAAGAACACCTGATATTGGCCCATGCTGCTTACTAAAGGACATGCATGTAATCTTTGTATAGCACCCCCTTTATAATCTAGCACAGTGTTTTTCAACCACTGTGCCGCGGCACACTAGTGTGCCGTATGATATTGTCTGGTGTGCCGTGAGAAATTCGACTACTTTGTCTAAAAATAACTGCATTCGCTGTTGACGAGCGGTGACTTGTTTTGAACTGTGGCGTAACCATGTAATACTTTTTCAAATCAGTAGATGGCAGCAGATAGCTAAGTACTTTGAAACTGAAAAATTGGATGCGACCACTGGCTGTATCAGGTCAGCATTGTGGCGAGAAAGGTAAAATTGGATGCAACCAACAAATGTGGGAGGGAGCGAGACAAGAGCTTTGTGGCGAGTGAGAAGTGAAAGTGATAGAGACGTTTTTGAAAATGAATTATGCCGTTTCTGAACAGGATTAACATCCTCCGCTCTGCCCCGGGGCAGCTGTGGCCGCGTTGTAGTGGTTTAACTATGAAATGTACAATTTTTGTACAACAGCTCTCGCGAACGCACTTCTGAACTGGGTACCGAGCGCAGACCATAGTCGAGTGGACAGAACCACAGACATGCGGACCGGACAGAACCATGGACTCGCGTTCAGGACCTCCCGTGTCCCTCATCCAAAACTCCTGAATTTAAAGCTCGGATATCTAAATTTTCCCCATGCACTAACAATGCATGTTCTTTGTGTGAGTTATTATTTGACTATTTGGGTAGAGAGTGGATTTTCTTAGTTTTTTTCCACACAGTTAGTGCCACTTTATTCCCAAACTCTTGTTAATTGTATCGAGAAATATTAAATAAAGCTTAATATCAAGGCCTGGACTTAAGCATTTTGATGAGAATAACTGTATATTGTGAATATAGGCTACAGAATATACTGTATACATTATAAGATAAGATAAACTTTATATATCACACAGAGTATGTACAGTATATATTTTTTTACATTAGTACTGTATACATTTTTACATTTTCTCCTGGAGGTGTGCCGCAAGATTTTTTCAGTGAAAAAAGTGTGCCTTGGCTCAAAAAAGGTTGAAAAACACTGATCTAGCACATAGTATTAGCTTCAGCAATAACAAAAATTATCTGATCAATTATGAGGCAACATGTGGCCAGAGTAGATATCAATTTAACATATCAGAATATAAACTAATGATGTCGGCACGGCAACAAGAAGGTGACTCCAGTGTATGGTTCCTTTCTGTGTGGTCTCTGGGTGCTGCACTGTAGTGACCATTCCCGACACTCCTGACAGGAATCTTTGCCACTACTGGCATGGATCAAATGGAGAGGACACATTTTCCATAGGGGACAATAAAGTACACCTGACCATTATCAATCTGCTCAACACTTGTTTCCTTCCTTCCTGGTTCACGGTTCAACATTTACACCTCTGTTGTTGGATTATTTTTATATATCCATTATTTTAATTTTTATTGTCAACCTTTTGCTGCACAGAATAAGACCAGATTAAGAGTTAGGACCTCAAACATCTGCTCTGAAGTTGTGACTATACCCATATTCTTACCTGCTCTTCCCCTTGGAACATGACAGAACCATATGGCCATATGGTAACCTTGGCTTGTGTCACTATTGTTATGATAAATGAGTTTTCCCTGTTTCCAGCATTTTTAATCGGATCACGCTTTGTTCTGAAATCTTTGCATCTATACCTCTGTTGTTTTTCTTCTCACTTACGTCTCATACATATGCAAGCGATGTATTGTAAAGAATTCTTAATTTCTATAGTCGTAAAAGAAACTTAATTTTATAATTTCTTCTTGATTAGTGCATCATTTTTTCACCGTTCAGTTTTATTTATTCTGGGATTAAGTGATGTATTTCTAGCTGCGGCAAAATGACATCTTTGTTTGATCTGTCATTGTTTTGACAACTGGCAGCCATCTTTGCTTCCAAATTCAGCTGCAATGACACTTTTATGTTAGTGTGGGTGGGAGCGCTCAGGTTTGTGCCATTCGAATCTCAATTTTATTATCCCATCTTTATTACTCGGTGCAAATGTTTTTAACCTATTTAAGTAGGATCACAGTAGAAGCTTGTCTTGGAACTAGGATAACTACATTTTTAACATGAGAAACACTACACAAAAACCTACTGTATATGTTGTGGCAGATGTAAGTGTACTTGTAAAGTACATTTATCTGAAGTGTAAATCCGAGGTGACTCACAGCTCAGTGGTAGCTGCAAATGTAGATCTTAGTTTGATAAATGTTTTTTTGGTTTGATAAAATGTGGGTTGCCTCGAAGAAATGCTTTGCTGAGCCTGTGTTCTCGCTATCAAAGTCACATGGTGCTCATAAATCACTCCGCAGCCAGGTGTTGATGTTGGTAATAAGGCAGTATAGAAGATAGTTCATTTAGAGAGGTCTGTTGCAAACTGTGATATTCATATCTTTGCTCTTATAAAAGTCAGAGGTGAGAGTTAAGTTGAGTTTGTGGTCTTCACAGTGACACAGTGCCTCAATGCTGTTAATATCAGCAAAGTATGGCAGCAAATGTAACCACTCACACCAAGGGCTGTAATTAACAGTTATATTGATAGAGAATTAGTTGGTATTAATGCTTTTCATTAATATATTAGTTGTTTACTTCTCAACAGCCAGATGCTGTGTGCAGACGTCGAGGCCTACGCCTTCGACTGCCGCCATGGATCCCTCTGTGGGTGGTGGGTCCACAGGAGGGCAGGTGCAGCGTGCGCAGTGATGCGGTCACTCTAGAGATAGAGTGAGGAGCTCAGTCTCATGGGAGGAGCTCGGAGTAGAGCTACTGCTTCTCCACATCGAGAGGACACCTCCCTGGGGAGGTGTTATGGACACGCTGGAGGGGCTATGTCTCTCAGCTGCCCTGGGAACGCCTCTGGGTTCCCCCGGATGAGTTGGAGGAAGTGTGTGTGGACAAGGAGGTCTGGGTGTCTCTACTCAGACTGCTGTCCCCGCGACCAGGCAACGGATGAAGCGGAGGAAAACAGATGGATGGATTATTTGTTCAGATTTCAAAAGGCCGGTGTGTGGCCCAGACAACCAGCTCTTGTGTTTTGAATGTGGTGTGTATGTGGTCCCAAGGAATGTAAACACAAAAAGGAGGTGCTTGTGCCCTGTCTATGGCTCAGCTTGGTTATTAAAGCTGTTGATGAATCATGTGACCTCAATAGAAAACCTTTAAACCTGCATGTGCTCACTTTGGCTCGTCTTTGAATGAGTGAGATGTGGATTCTGGCAAGTTTGTTTATGAGACTCTTCTCACGGTGACGGTGTGACTGCTGTTCTATTGGTCTATTAAATTTATGATGGGTTTTCAAGCTGCATATAAATCTCTACTTCTCTGTTTGTCAAGGCTGATTTGGAGAATCCAACCGAGCCCTGACTTATGGGAGTGCTTTTACTTGTTGCACACACTTGCTGGACAACTTGTGTGACATTAGACAAGCACCTAACTGCACTTATTTGATTTATGTCGAGCGCACCTCACTTTTGCCACAGAGACAATCATTTTTGGCCTGGATGTTACACCCCAGTATTGACAATATCACTTGCCAACAGGGTTCTTTATTTGTGTGGCAAAAAATAACTTTTTTCGTCATGAAAAATGCCATAATTTATCATAATAATGTTTGACTTAAAACCAAGCTTCTTAATTTTTTGTCTCCATTTGTTAAATTAGATTTTTTTCACACATTTTCTCATGTGTGAATTGTATCTTCCAGTGGTGGGATGTGGAGAGAGGAGAGGCGCTGCAGACCTTCTACCCTAAAGGACTTGCCCTAAAGAAGATCCACGTGTCTCCAGACTTCTCAACCTTCGTAACCATCGACAACATTGGCATTTTGTACATCCTAGAAAAAGTCACTCCTTAAACACAACCAAAAAAACTTTGAAAATCATAAGAGCTTTGAATCCATCCAATAAGACCTCTCTTGTTAACTTGTTTACTATGAGCCGTGGAACCTTAGCCACTCTTCATCTGGCATGGAGAAACTTCACTGTTCTTTCTAACCTAGGATCATTATCATTAATTTATAAAGTGCTGAAAGGGAAAAAAACCACTAATAATAATATTGTGGAAGAGTCTGTTTATGTTTTGTTTTCTTTTTGTGGAAGCAAGTGACGCAATAGTGATCTGAGCGCAGATTCAAACACAAACCTTTGGGTCATTGGGCAAATCCACCATCCACCAGTCAGTCTGTCAGGTTTTAAGATTTTCTTCTATTTATTTTTTTATTATGACTTTTGTTATAGTGATTAATAACTCAAAATCAAAAATAATATGTATTTTTAATTCAAGAAATGTTGCATAAAACAGGAAGCTGAAACCCATGCATTTACACTCTCAAGCAACTACAGTTTTTTTTTATCTAAATGATCTAAAATTCTTCCCTTAAAATGTAATACAATAATTAAAATATAATGGGGCAATATAGTGTCAGAGTTTGTTTCACTATTCTATATGATGTAATGTTTCTCTTCTGAAATATGTCTCATGTACTGGTTTATACTTGGTCAGTGTTTAACTGTAGATCTTTATAATATCACATGCACTTAAACTATCTGAATCAGGATTTTCATTATCATTTCAAATGTGGGACTGTAATGTGTCTTTACTGTGAAAATCTGATGATTTGTAGTGTTATAAATGCCTCGTTATTATGGCCTTATTGTCATGCATCTACAATGTATGTGAGCTTTGCTCACTGTGAGGTCTGCCTTTCTGGTTCACCAGCATGCATGATATTGTTGTGCACTTTTGATAGAATTATCAGTGGTTATTCAAAATTGTCAACCATATTGTCTGGCATTTTTCTATTGTTTAAATACCCTTATTACTGTCTTATACAATATTGTATTTATTTGAATCTTAATCTGAGCCATTTTGATCACTTAAAAGCTCAAATCAATCTTCTCTTATTTAGAGACAAAGTTATTCAGCAAGTGCCAGCCTGGAGATTTCTAAATTCTTTGCACAAGGTGTAAATGATGATCAATTAAACTCCAAATGCTTTGAAACTCTGTCATTTTGCATTTGTTCAAGCTTAATTTGGAAAAAATTATACTGTAAATAGTAAAATACTTAAATATATATTGAGATAGAATGTGCATGGTATATTTACAACCACAACCTACCATTTTACTGGAGTTGACTTTTGAACTGTGTCACAGTCTAAACCTTCCCCTTTGCCTCGTTCGCAGCAGGTGGAGCTCGCTGCCATAAAGGCATTCGGACATCTGCACCCAGTGACTGTGGTGCCTCTTTTGAAACGCCTGATGTATGACACTTTGAGAGTATGTGAGAGACAAACTTAAAAACACAAAGTTAAACACATTTTACTAATGACACACCATCCTACTGCAATTCTGCCACTTTATTGTTTCACTTTCTTTCCTGACAGTCATGCCTCAGCAGGATCATTGTGTTTCTATATACTATTCCTTACAGTTCAGAAGGTTCTTAAGACAAAAGTGCAAAGAAGCTAGTAATGCTTGATTACCAGATCCGTTAGACTGGAAGCATCCCCCTCGCTGTGGTCTCTGCAGAAGTGAGTGCCAAGTGTGAGCCAAGATGAAAGCCCCCCCTCATCTCCGTTGATGGTCCGTGGGCCACACTTTCTGAATTAAATCGCCTCTCATATCCATCTTTTGTACTTATTTTCTTCTGTTCCTACTATTTTTGGACCCAGACTTGTGTGGGCCCCATCTGGGAGCCTCATTTGTCCTTCACAGCACAGCCTCGTTCCTTGTTCTACCGCCTGAGTCCTAGCATGCGAGCGGATCCCTCTCTGAATGTGGGCCTCCCCAAGATTTCTCACTTTTTTCCAACTGGGCTTTTTAAACAAACGTTTTGCCGATGCAGGAGGGTCTAAGGACAGTGATGTGGGAATGTATGGACATTTATGGACATTAGTCATCCCGCTCCCTCTGGACCAATGGCTCTTATGTGTTGGTTATTATTGCATTTTCTGGGTTTGAATTGTATTATTCTCGTTTCTGTTCTGTTGTTGGCCAATCAACAACTTTGTAAGGTCCTCCAATACAATGATTTTAATTGAATACTCCTTGACAAGTTGTAAACACGGGCAAGAAATAGGTGTTTCTATGTTTCTAAATGTAGGAGGCCAAACTGGGGGCTTATTACTAGACCAAACCATAACCTAAATCAATTTGGGCTTTCTGCTCCTGGGAACAGAGAAGTGCAACGTTGCCAGTCACTATGGGATATGCCCCCATCTTGTGGCAGGACAGACCCCCATACATTGCACGCACCATACATTGGTGCCAGCTGTCTATCAGAATGTAATGCTCTATTTAAAGTTGGCTCAGAGGGTGACGTAAGGCTCCTAATGCTGCTTCAATGGTTACAATCACTGCCCATTGAGAGCAACTTAAGAATCCTTCAAACTCCTTCAAAGTTTTCTATGTAATGTCAATGGTGCCTTGAAGATTAGATATTTTTTTTCCGCAAAACCAATCTTCTTGCGCATAAAACTGGAATCAAACCAGGACCGAACAAGTGCAATCAAGCCTGCTATTTCAACAGTTTGCTGTAATGCGGAACTACAGTACAAAGTTTTATATTGTGCTTTTTGGAAACGCCATATTCATTCACTCCGTACACAGTGGAAGCAAGGCCAATCTGAGCTAGTGACCACTCTGACCATTAATCATTCACTCACACAATACACAGACACACAGTGACCTGCTCCCAATTTTTCCTGGGTTCAACCTAAAATGACTAAATGCTGTATTTATGCTCAATCGTCCCTTTATTTGTTGTGGATCACAATAAAAGGCTTTAATTTTTGAGGGGAATCTGGGTGGTCCGAAAAACAGGTTTGACTAGGATCTTTTCAGGATATTTTCAGCCAGATTCTTGCAACATGGGGCTGTGGATTATCAGGCTGCTAATGAGGTGATGGTCCTGGATGAATAGCTCAGCATTGGGCCTCAGAATGTCATCACAAACCTGGGCCACAAGTCAAACAAACCAACATAGAGCCGCCTCAGTCGCCCCCTCATGGCACCTGTTATTCCAAGAAGCATCCCTTCAGTAATAACCAGGCCCTGCACTGTTCAGCATTTGAGATCAGGATTTAGCATGCAGCAGGTATGGTCACAATAGTGAAAGAAGCCCTATTTCAGCCTCAAGCGTGAATGTGTTATCGCCATTCTGCCCACTCTCGACAATGAAACACAGGTCTTTTGAAGAGACTTGAAGGTAAGGTTATTTCAGGAATTTTAAAACACTTATCTTTGACAGAGTCTGAGCTGTAAATGAGTAAATGTCTTCTCTGTCATCTGATTGAGAGAATTACGTTTGAAATCACACTTCGCCTCAAGTCGGAAAAGCTGTGAAGTTATAAAAGTGTGTCTGGGGTGTGAGCTTACCTCATTAATTCAGTTCTCTCGGCTTAATTAATCTTTGTCTCTTGTAGATGTAATTACAGTCTACACACTGACACCTCCCTCCCTCCTCGGTTACTGTGAGCCCCACTTACTCTTGTCTCCAGGGCTGTCATAACTGTATCATTCACCGGCCTGTAATTTCGAGACCTGATCATTCTGGATTTTATTTCCACCAATCTAGTAAACATAAATTATCAACTCAACGCCTCAATATAGTCGGTATAAAATTACCAATGAAATGGATATCGGAGCGAGTCAAGATATCCTATTAGATGACCAATCCAACATAACCGTAAGCGTACAGGGGTTTTTGTGCTTGATTCTTGCTTCTTCATCATGCCAAAGTTGGAGTTTTGACTTCTTTCCTTACTATGCCAAGATAGATACTTTATACTGCTCCTTTTTTATGCTAGAGTTGGAGATTTTATTTTATTGTATTTTTGTTTGCTCCTCATTACTGTCTGTAACTCTTAATCTTAATCTTCTAATCCAAAGAGAAATGTTTGGTCTTAAATAAAGGCTCTGATTCGACAGGACAGTAGCTTGGTAGCTACTGTAAATGTCCTGCCTCCTACAGTGCTTTTGCAAACTCGCAGAACCACCGGAAGTCTTGCATCCTGAGATCAGAGTTTTTCCAATGTGGTTTTACTGCAAATGGGAAATGAATTCTTGTATCTTGAGTGCACGGTGTGGATGGTGTGGTACCAGTGCATCCAGGAGTTAGGAGTGGGCCATGCCAGTTGTGGTCTTGAAGGTACTTAGTCAACTTCATATTTTTAAACGGTTTGAAAATGTAAACCTGGACAAAAAGGTGGAAAATAGTTCAATGTATAAACAAGTTTCTGAAGCCTCTTGCATGAGGATTCACCAAACAAATACCCAAAGATTATTCCCCTTTCCTTGGAAAACTTCACCTTGAAAATGTTTAGAAAATGTTTGATAGAATGATAGAAATGATATATGGTCAACAATAGTAGCTTCCCTTTCTTGTATGCTGTATATTGAATGATTAAATAGCACTAAAACAAGTACAATAGGTCTGGAGTGGGAGACAAAAACAAATTGTAAAGCTCTTTGTGACTGGTCTGTGAAAGGCGCCATATAAAGCAGAATAACTTGCTCACTTGCTTAAATATGAATTCCACTTTTCTCATTAATACAACAGTAACGCAAAGTCCATGAAACAGATGAAGCCGATTTGAAGTGATTATTTGATTATTCTCAGCTTTTAATAGTCACACCGAGTTCAAAGGCCCAGTCGTCCAATTAGCCTTCGTTATAAATAGAGTACTTTGCAGAGAAATGTGCTGCTGGAATCTAAACCTTTGGAGTTCGACAGAGGGGTCTGCAGAAGCTCGCAGAGGACTCCCTGGAGATGTGAAAAGCAGCACACTCCCCTCCGGCACTCCGTCTTCTGTCTGTGGCTTTCATTTTGTCCCCTTCTCCCTTTTTCCTCTCA